AGAACAACGGCAGCCCATAGTTCATCTAGTACAAGCAGTCCCACCTGCAACCGGCCTAAAGCTGCCTGTCGACTACATAATGATCTACCCTCTGTAAGATGGATGGCCCGGAGATACCACTAAGGCTGCTGAAACTAAAGCCTGCACGCTCTAAGTGTGTGTGTGTGTGTGTGTGAGAGAAGTAACAACAAGCAGGCAACGAGCACATTTTAAGCATCTACATGGTATCTATTGTTTCCTGTCCAGAAAACCCTGTTACCACAAGATGCTGTTTGACGGCTAATTTTTCCTAACCTGTTGGTCCAGGTTCCAGCGGGATTGGAGAAGGAGTGTCACGGCAAGATTCACAACTTTGAGAGTGTTTCATTCCTTCACTAACTGCTCTCATTATTCACAGCATTATCTTGCAGATGCAGAGCTATTTTGAAAAGGCGTTCCTATAGCCAGCTGAGCCCGGACCCAAGCCGCTATCTCTTGGTTGCATCAGCTGGAGTTCACCATCAGATGGCAGTCCACTAATGCCTTTCTCAGATGTGGCTTACTGGTGGCAGTGGAAGGTTGCGTCAGTGGACCTTTCGTGTATGAACTCACCAGCCTTTGGTGCTCCAGCACAGACTACAGAGGACTCCCGGAGGACTTCCCGAAAGTATCTTATCACTTAGATCACATTACAATGACTTTCAGTGGCACCAATTTGATCTTAAGTGCTAATCCAGGCTACCAGGCTTTTCACAGATCTTTCAGATCAAATGCACTGTGAGTTTCACATCAATATCTGAGCTTACTCCGTAAAAAACATCGGCACCACTTTTTTATGTGAAAACTACTGGAAACATCCTTTGAAGTTAAGCTTATTTTTGCGCCAAGAGGCAGAGACATTCATTCGTCAGTGACGCCTAAATGTTAGTCCTGTGAAGTGAATTCTCCAATTTTTCTGACAAATTGAATAGATGATTGCGTGGTCATTTTTTAACCCAAATAGACCCAGATATTGTTCAAACTTAATCACAAAGTTTAATAAATGTCTGACCTCATGAAACTTTTACAAATTTCTTTTTAAAGATGCAATAGTTTTGCTGATGGGAATCTAATTTGAAGCCCACCGTATTTAAAAATGCAGGTCCGTTTGCCTTCAGTGTTCAACGAATACATTTCACATCCTCTGCCTTATAATAGATTTAGAGTAGCTGTTATGTCGTTAGTTGTGGTATAAAAATGACAGCTGATCAATTAGAAAGAAGTATCATCTCAACCACAGAAAGGTTTTGCACTATTATAAAACGTCATGTCTACTTTTGGATCTTAAAGATTGTACAAATTTGTTTCTATTCACTCTCCTGAAACTACTGATACACTGGACACATTTTCACAGCTGTAAAGACGCACCGAGACGTCCTTGTTTGACTGACAGCTTACTACATTGGTACAATACAATAAAGAACATCGTTGTTCCTGCCCACTAGGTACTGTAGCCCATGGCATTTGTAAAAGCTATGTTCACTGTCACTTCCATTCACACGTTTGTTTCTTCTCACAGCTTGATTTCACTCCCTATTCTCACCAGTGTCCAATATATAACTAGAGCTTAAATTGAACACTATTTTAAAATACAGAGGCTCCATAATCCATGAATGTAGTTATAAACAATATTTGAGCTCTTTGATAAACTCTGTGTTGTTGGCTTGACTCAGTAATGAATTCGAGTAAATTGCCTGTCTGAGTTGAAAGAGGAAGTGTGAAGTGGCGTCAAGAAATCCCCAGTCAGCAGTGATGCAATGGCTCATTTGAAGTCCAGTGAAGGCTGGATGAGTCACATTCTTCGAGGATGAACTCCTTTGAAAGAAATTATACTGGTTTCCTGTTTTATACAATGAAGTCTGGAGAGTAAGAGACCAAAACAGGAAATTACATGGGCTACAGGTACCGACTGACAGCAACCACAAAAATCCAAATAAGCCATTAATATGTGTCCATTGCCCTTTAAAATGAGGGAGTAGTGATTAGCTTTTCGTGAATGAGTTGAGTATTGGCTTATAGATCTATTTCATTTCATGATCCACAGAGGACTTGAAGTCATTAATGTTCTTTTTTTTTACAACAGTAATTTTGTAAACTGTTCAATATGCTTAATTATGATAAGTTTACAAACACAATATGCTAATTTTGCATCATTAAGATAAACTCTTTAATTAGTATACAAATATCAATTAAAATGTAACATGTCAAAAACTGCTATACTGTCTGAGAAAGGTAGTGGACCGACCGACCAATCAACCAACCGACAGCCATCCTAGAGAAGCGGCGCAAGCATGGCTGAATAATTAAACTGTACAAGACTGTTGTAGTCAGTCGTTTCACTGCCCTGTTATGTCATGAAATTAAAATAACGGAGAAATGGTTTTACAGTATTTATGGCTTACATGAATAACTGGGAGCATGACTTTGAAGTTGCGTCATATGAGAGATGATATTGTGCAAGAATAACAAAGCAGTGATCAGAATTCTTGATCCGGGCTCAGAGACTGGCCTCAGTTATGTAAGACCCAGTCAGAATCTGACTATTCAGTGTGTGTGTGTGTGTGTGTGTGTGTGTGTGTGTGTGTGTGTTGGTGGTTAAGTTGTGTATATGTGTGTTGGGCGGTTGAGCCAGCTAATTCCATGGGAGAGCGTTGTTAGCCTGGACCATTTGGGGATCTCTCAGGAGAGAGGCGTTGCTCTGGTCTCTCATCAGGCAGAAGACAGAAGACTGCGTGCTCTGCATGCTGCACTCATCTAGGCCACGATAGCTTCACTGCACAGGCCATATCTCTGCTTCATTTACTCGTTGTCTGATCATAACAAGTGTCTCTATTCTGATATACTCAATTACATCTTCATTAGCCTGCTAACTAACTTAAAACAAACCAGCATTGTGTGTGGAGATTTTAAGTCGATGTGACATTTATTACCAAGAAGCCTGAGTCTATATAGGTGCGGGCCGAAAGGGGCGTAACGTGATATTTAGTATGTCTTCATCTACTCTCAAGACCATTCACTGTCTCATCATAACATCAATTCATTCCAATTTAGCAGCTAATGAACTCAGTTCATTCCTCATTTAATCTGTTATCTAAACAAGAGGCCGACATGTTGGCCTCTTACTTTGGTGCCCTGCCAATCAAACAGTGTTCTCATAGTAATTAGCTAAACAATGGGGAGTTCAGAATCAGATCCCAATGAAGAGCAATCCAGTGACAGCCATACAGCATAATTGGCGGCCGGCGAGTTTTCGCGTACAATGAAATGAGTGTGAATAAGAGCAGGGAAGTGCGGCAGCAATGTCGAGTGCCAGACCAATTACAGAGCTGCAAATCTGAGACAAACCACCATGGGACACACAAAGGGAGAATTCCAATCAAATGGCTTTTAGTTTCATCTGTATTACACCGTCACGTTTCCTGTATTCTTGCATTCTTTCTCTGAAAAACAGGATGTGCCCTTCGTTTGTGAGGGAAGTTCCATCATGTCAAAGCAAACTTTGTTTGTTACCATGCTGACCAGCTGTGACCTCAATCAGTCATCCTCGCCTTTCTCTAAGTGGAACAGACAACACAGGAGGAGCAGGTCACTTTATACCACCCCCGTGTATTTCCCCATTGTTTGAACACTCATTTTCCCTTTTGGTCTCTCTCTGTTCCAATTATTCCTCTTTGCTTTACAGTAATGTCAAATTTTAAGCTCTTTTGCTTCCACCACTATACCCTTCTCCCCCCAAACCTGCGCCAACTCTCGTCCCAGTCACTGGGGTTAAATAGTTGGCCAGAGCTCAGAGCAGTGAACTCTCTGTACAAAGTGTCTTTTAATGAGACGGAAACAGACAGGAAACAGTATCTTTAATGTCCAGCCTTCCTTCCTTTGGCCGCTGCCACTGACACAAAGTCAAAAACCAGGTCCACCCAAGCAGTCTAACTGTAATATGTCACCAGGGCTGGTGGTATGACGGGCCGTATCAACCACCTGTCCAGGGATTTTTAAAACAATGACAACTTAATATACTGCTGGTTCATGACATCTCCATTTCTAGGAGGGCAATACTTTCTCTTGACTCTCAACACCCTGAAACCAGAGTCGTATGTGTGATGAGAATAAACTGTGCAGCTAAATACTTCAGAGATTGTTTACTGCTGATTGTAGTTCCTCATTCGACCACATCCTGAAGGGAAATCTGGCAGCTCTTTAGCAGACGAAAAATAATTTTGCATACTTCAGCTGGATTATGCAGCACATGTCGCTTAATGTAAAATCACAAGTCACAAGTGAAAAATCACACCTTACAACCACAACGTTCACCTCAGCCCTGTCTGTTTCTCTAAGCAGTGTTACTCTGACAACAGGGAGGAGACACCTGCAAATGGATGAGACTCGGTGGAGGGAAGTGACAGCGGGCTATCAACAAAACCACGATGGAAAAGTCTCTGCTAGGAAACTGCAAGATGCACTTTTACAGGCGACTCAAACAAAGCAGAACAACTTCCTTCCTTCTGTTCAAAGCTTGGATTTGTAGTCATAAGTTACAGTAGAGTCAAAGCCCACGCAAAAAGAGTTACAAAACAAAGTCTTAATGAGCATTGTTTCTCACAGCACAACTGACGCACTTCCTTTTTAATTAAGCTGACTTCACGTGGTGTCTGAGCTAAATTTGTGGGTTTCCTGATTTGGAGGCAGAAGTGAAACTCAAAGCATAATCAGAACAGACATACAGGAAGCATAGGCACACACTAAGGAGGATGGGTGAAGGGCTCCTGAGACATGTGGTGTGACAGTATAGCAACAGTCAATTCAGGAGATAGTGAAGGTGTGGGCACATGGAACACAATTTGTTGTCACTACTGTCAAGGGTAATTTTTTTTTTAGGAAAGTGAAAGGCTTTCAACAGACGGCATGATCAGCAGTTTCCCTGCACTCATTCTGAAACAAGATTGAATTTATCAGATATATCAACAAGAAAAAGGAAATGTAAATGAAATTCAATCAAAGTGTAGCTTTATTTATGTGCATTCATCTGTACATCAATTTATTTCTAAAAAAAAAAACCACAAATATTAACAAGAACTGTACACTGGAAATGGCAGCACACAAATGTTATTTGATTTACACAGCAGATCTGAACCTCTTGGACTTAGAATCAGTTTAAAATCAAAGTGCCATCTGTAATTTGTAACAATCTCCTTTTTAAAAATGTGTATTTACTGACATAGTATTTATGAACATTTTAAACGTTGCACAAAATGCTTTCTGAACTCTGAGCAGCGTCTTTCTTGTACGGCCGGACAGATGGAAGTTTTGTTTAGTTTCTGGAATATGTCACACATCTCGGATCTGATGCTGGGGGGATGTAGTCCTCAGCGTCGCCAGGGGTCTGAGGGTGTTCTTGCATTTTGGAATGGAGTGGCCTTTTAATTTCTGACGTTAACCTTTTCCCCTGGAGCAGCCAGGGGAGCATTTGCTCCATCAGATCTGCTCTGGTGTAGATCTGCCTGTCTGCTCGGCAATAGCCAGCCATGTCGCCCCTGGCCTGTTTCTCCCCCCCCCCCTCTACGTGGCTCGCTTTCTCTTTCTGTTCACATCTCTGCAAAAGAGAGGGGAAGAGAAAACTACAAAAGCTCAGGAGCCAGAATAAGAGGAAGCACACAGGCATATTAACACACACAGAAACATGCACCGAGGTGAGCCTTGTACAGATGCAGGACGGGGTTACAATTCATATGCAACAGTCATTCTCTCTGCGGTAAGACCTCTGATAGCAGCGGATGTATGCTTTGTTCTTTGTGGTTTGTGTGCCTGCACAGGACCATGCATGTGTTCACAGGCCTCAGAAACACCACTGCTTTAGTGCTGATAGCAGAACCACGGTGCTCATGCAGTCAAGTATGCTATTATCACAAAAGGTCGTGTAGATAGTCCACCTGAGTCCCCAGACATGGCATTTACACACAAGAGGTGCTCAGAGATGAATGGGGGGGGGGAAGTACAGGGTAGAAACAAGCTGGCTACTACTAGGGACTCTGTTTTTCAATGTGTAACAACACATGCACTCCATCTGGGTCTCTGCAACCATTACAAACGACTGCCTAGTGGCTTGTCAGCTTAAGTGCTAAAGGAATAAAGAAAAGACTGAGTAGGAGGGGGGGTGTAATTCTCTTAAACACGCACCTTCAAGTTCCTGGTCCAACATGTCGATAAAACTCTCAAGTTCCCTTGTGTCTCCCAGCTTGGCTGCAGAAAGAAGACAGAAAGAAAAGGAATTTGAGAAACTATAGAAAAGCAGTGGAACATTTTTGTGGAGAAATGCAGCTCAGTTCATTGGCATTTCCTTTGGACCAAAAGCTGAAAACTAATCTAAATCACAGAATTACATTCGAACCAAACTGCTTTTGGACCTGAAAAATCTCAGATTATTTCCTACAATCTGAGATGAAGCCGTACAACCCAGGCAGCTTGGCTCCTACCATGATCTCTCCAGTAAATATCTTCAGGTATTCTGCGTTAACACAGATGTGAATGACAGCTTCTTGGTTTCATCCATTGAGATTTAACAGTAGTCTCCTGTGCGTCTGCATGCAACAAAATGCAACAGCTCTCATTCATTTACACAAACCTAAGACAGTCTTATCGCTTCATAACAGCACAAATAACGCCTGCAAGAGTTTTGGGAAGAGTGTGTGTATGTGTGTGTGGGAGGGGGGGTCTGAGACGTCACAGTCACAGCGGCAAGGGCTTTGTTGTGTAAAAACAAAAGAGCTCCCAGCCTAATGTAAAGGGCTTTTGTGTGGTTGTGATAGTGATCAGAGCAAAAGCGATAGTGATCACTGTAAGAACGAGGGCTATCTGGATGGAGATAGGCGGATGGGAGTCTCTAGTACCTTTCGGTGCCTGTGTTATGCCTGCTGTGTGAAGCTCTTCCTCGCTGGTGTTCAAACTGTTTCCCAAAGAAGCTTCGCTGCCTGGGGGGGAGAGGGAGGAGAGGAGAGGAGAGGGTGAGTGGAGATAATAAACAGAAGACAAGCACTAAGGCCAGCCCATGCAAATGGGCATCAACAACAACAATGACAACCACTTTAAAACAATGCAGGAGCTGCACATAATGATGATAACATGCAGTAAAATTAAGGTAAACGTGTGTTCTCTGTTAGAGACTCCCAAGTGTCAGCTTTTGAAACGTTAGGAGGCCAAAATGCTCTCAATAATGACGACGCATGGGAACAGAGAAACACAATATCTTCTTTTATCTCATAACCGTCGACAAACGCGCAACACAAAAAAAGAATTCCAGACAATTCCAGGAAATGGGTTATGCGTAATTGCAGTTCATTCCGGTACACCGCTATTCTCATGAGCAAAACAGCCACTTTGATAGAAGTGTACCGTGATGTGTCCTCTTGTAACACTAATTTCATGCAAATTGAAAGCGTCAGGCTGCAGTTGTTTGGGCTGATAAAGGGGCTCAACCGGCACCCATGGCAGCTGCCGACAACCTCACTCTCCAGCAAATGATGCACTAAATAATGTCCACACTTTGTGAAGTATGCAAATATCATCTTAATCACAGCCACATTGTTTTAGTTTGATGATTTTGTCGCTCACTGTAATCCGAGTCCTCGACTCCGCTGTCGTCCCCGAGCCGCGTGCGACTTTTAGCCTCCTGCAGGACGTGGTGGTAAGCATGAGGTTTGCTTTGAGAAGGGGCCTTCAGCTCCTCCACCACATCCTGGAACTCCTGCAGCAGCTCGCCCAACTCCAGCTCCAAGTCTGCGGAAAATGTGACGGCAGTTGGAGAGAAACCACATTATTCCAGTAAAAGAAAATGTTCTCAAGCTCTTCTCTTGTTTTTGCAGAAAGCTAAAAAAATAGAAGTCCAGAAAAAATTACATTTACACATATATTTTTGAAATAAAACAAACCAACAGACAACTAAAATCTTAGATATTTCTGAATATAATAAATAATAAATAACAAAAATGTATCCAGTATACAGTAAAATTAAATGCAGGTAAACTGCAGTTGAAGTTTGTCAGTGGGTTGAATCAGATAACTTGATGTGTGAAAATAAATAAGAGCCCATAAGGCATATAAAACATCTAACAGCCTGTAAAACACCTGGTCTACTGTGATACATAAATATTACATTTTAAATTCAAGTTCTATGCTTTGGGCTGCAATAAAACAACACTTTTTGCTATTCCTTAAATAGAGGTCATTAAATAACGGATGACCACACCTCTGTTTAACTGCATTTTATGAATATGATGATGGAGCTTTAACAGGCCCCTATGGGGTAGGAAGCAAAAGGAGTAGCAAAAGGTTTGATGCAGCAAGAAAAATACAAGCACACACACACACACATTCAAAAATGTCAATGTCTGGTATGTTCTGAAAGAAGACAGCCAGCAAGAAGTAATGACTTGTGTTGTTTTTTTAAGCATGTAGTCTGTTCAAAATATATCAACAAATAGGAAAGCATGATGTAGATTAGGAGACATAACAGGCAACATGATTTACAAAACTGCTGACTTTCTCAGTGTAACTTTAATATGTATCAACTTTATGTGATAAAAAAAAAAGGGATTAGTCAAGTGTGGGATCTGAAGAAGTTAAAATATGGTGTACAGCCTCTGATAAATAATTATACAGGCGCCAGCTGTTTGTTACAGACCCGTGATCACTATCACTCTACTTAAAACTAACGGCTCAAGTAGTCGTAAGACTCACCTGTGGTCATGTCTGAGGTCATGCTGGAACAGGGAAATTAAACACCAGCGGGCTGCTGTGCGTCTGGATTCAGAGCGGTTTAAAGCCGACAGTCAGGGCGGTAGTTTTATTATGAAGCCCTCCACACACACACACACACACACACACACACACACACACACACACGTGCTCAGCCAGCGGATACAAACAACCAATCATGTCGCAGAAAACCCTCAGCGGTCTACTGTGACTGGAAAAAGTGGGCGGAAAGATAGAAAGGAAAACTATACGCAACTGAGACAGACTGACGAGTGAGAAGAAGTCATTACGTAAATCAGGGCGAGAGCCCCCCCCCCCCCCCCCGATTAATTTGTTGGCACACGGATCTTGCTACAATAGGATTTTACATTAAAGAATAATCTGAGTTTGAGTGAAGCTTTAGTGACTAATATAAACTGGGAGGATGTTCAACCACTCTGTAAAGGTGTTGTCACACTGCAGTCAGATCGTACCAAACATCTGGGATATTTTACTTAGCCACATAGTTTTGATTGGGGGGATTTGTACCCATTTTTGACTCTGAGTTGGGTGAACTTGAATTGAAAAAGTTTCCATTTGTCATAAAACTTTTTGCTTTCATAATTCTGCTGTGAACGGTGCAGTTCTCTGCTCCATCAACAGAGGCCCCTCAAGTGCAATTTCTGTTCAAACTCCCACAGAAGTGGTACTCTTGATCCTTAACTTAACGTAAAAGTAATAGAGGGTAACATACTCCAATACAGCAAAGTATAGGTTAAATAAGTTGTAATTATGCAGAATAGCCCCTTAGAGTATAGCCTATAGTATTTTTTTAGGGTTTGCATTTTTAATAACACACACACACACACAAACACACACACACACACAAACACATTTATTCAGAAAGAATATTGAACTACAGTCCAAAAAGGCTATACAAAAGTCATGAAAAAGTCATAGTATAGCATGTTGAAAAAAGTTGTTAAAATGTCGTAGCGTAATTCGCTGGAATAGTATGTCCAAAAAAAAGTGATTATATAGTATGTCGGGAAAAGTTTTAGTATAACAGCTCAAAAAAAGTCATTGTAGCATATCGTAAAAAAATCACAGTACACGATGTTGAATGAAGTCATGAAAGAGAAAATTTCATTGTATAGTATGTCAAAAGAAATCATAAAAATTCATAGTATAGTATGTTGGAAAAATCATTGTATAGTATGTCGACAAAAGTCATAGTATAGCATGTGAAACAAGGGATAGAATAATATGACAAAAAACTTGAGTTGAAAAAAGGTTAATAAAAAAGACAAAATAGTAAGTTGAAAAAGTATTTTAAAAAAAAATCATAGTATAGTATGTCGAAAAAGTCATAAAAAAATAATATTATAGTGTGTGTTCAGTGGTTAGTTAACTGGTTTGTAAGGTGCAAAGGACGGGTTAGAGTTCTCACGCTAGTGTCCAGAGGACCACCGCTGGACAAAGGAGCATGAGACTGAGTCACCTCCTGTTGGATTGGAGAGACAGGAGGAGGGGTTTATGAAACAGAAAACCACTAACTATTTTAATGAAAATGCGGCAGGCCAACCCAACAAGGGGTTGTTAAGCCCTCTGAGTTCATGAAGCACAAGACGTTGGACGACGCGGAGAAATTCTTTCGTCTTCAATTTTGGTCTGGAAAATCTGCAGTCATCTGGGGAGAAAAGAACAGAAGGACGACATAAGAATTTGAATCCCATTCACACACGTCTGTGCCAACAACAACTTCTTCAACAGCTACTACAACATCAAACACAACTAGTACAACAGCTACTACAACAACAACTACTATTACTAAACTTCTAGAAGGGTTCTCAAGGTTTTAATTACTTTGTGCCAATTTAGGGAGCGATCGAGAGCCGGACAGGAAAATTATACATTCTGACATTTATATACATTTTTATGGCATTCTATACCATGACATTTTTATTACTTTTTTATAACATCTGATATCCTATTTTCATGAAGCTTTTCTGACTCCTTTATGGCATTTTATACTATAACATTTTTGACATTTCTTATGACTCTTTCATGGCATACTATGATAATTGATATAACATTTTTATGGCATATTATAGTATGAGATTTTCTCACGACATACTATACTATTATATTTGTTGTGACATTTTCATGACATATCATACGATGATGATATTATTTTAGATTATTATGGCAAAATATTCTTTAATTTTTGATGACATTTGTTATGACATTTTACATTTTTCTGATTTTGATATCGCATACTATACTTAATCATGCTGTAACTGTAATGATACTATAATCAAAGTTAAAAGACAACATTTTGCTTAACTGGTGTTTCCATACTCTGAGATCATCCGGCATCCTCTGCTTGTCTTAGATCTTCGTCTCGGAGTCCACTGAACTGCTTCTGATGAGCCTCCCTGTGGTTCTCCAGCTGCTCCTCCGGCATTTTCAGGAGGGTGAAGACACAAAACAATACATTACAAACAAAAAATCATTCTAATATAAGAATCATGTCATTTGACTGTTGCAGTTTCCAGCTGTGTTCAGATGGTAAATTACCTATTTCAGTGACATTGTGACCTGGCATCTGCCTACAATTTAAGAAATAAAAGTCAGACTTTGTGGCCAATTGTATCACATTAAAAAAGGAGAGATTTTTCTTAATAATAGATATGTTGCCAATTGTTGTCTATGATGCCTCAAGAAGACAAAAATACACACACACACACACACACGAAAGATTATAGCCCACCCAGTCCGTTTTACCTGTTAAAATACCTCTCAAGGGACAATACAACCCATAAAATGCAGTTTTCCACTTGCCAAATGTGTTTTAAAGAAGCTGTATTTAACTATTTGCCATGTAAAGACAAAAAGTAATGTCTGCCTGAGCAGATAATTAAGTCATTCTCCCTCTGTGTGTGTTCTTCTCCTTGCTTTGTTTACACCAAATCTCGGATCTTGCAGCTTTAAAAAGACTTTATAAAATGAAATAAATGTGAGAATTTATCATGCATCTGTGTTGAAAGGAGTTGTTGTTGCTGTATATACATATACTGTATATATATAAATCTTAGTTTACATTTCCAGTTTAGTTTATCTTTTGAATTTATGGTGATATAACCATTTATACCTTCATGTGACATCACTGTTCAGTTCTGTTTCCTGAAAAAAAGAGATGCAAATAACATGATTGTGCATTACAGTGTTGAGGTTATACATGCATTCCGTGTATAACAAAAGGAGACCAGGGGGACCAGAAATGGCTTTGACCATAGACAGCATGGGTAAAGTATTTTTTGTAAAAAAAAAAAAAAAATTGAGTAAATGTGATTTTGAAGATGTTGTATGATTATGAAATTGTTTGAATATTTTGTAAATTAGCCAACTAAATAACAAATGTCATAATGTGGTAGGCCTAGTGACGTAGGGCCATAGGTCAAAGGCCAATCTCTCTCTGTCAACATGGAGGAGCGAGATAGAGGGTCAGCAAAGCGTAAAAGAAAAAAGAAAAAGAAGCTAAAGATGTTGCTTTGGTACAACAAATACCCTCTGTTTCAACATTTTCAGCAAAAATCTGTGGAAGGTGATGCTGTTACTGCTACTGACACTAACTGTCAGCAACTGTGAGGGAGAACGGTCATTTTCACGAATGTCCAGGATCAAAAATTAACTAAAAAGGATGACACAGAGACGCCTCTCCCTGCTGTCACTCATGGTAATTGAATCGGATCTCGTCCGGGAGTTGGACTTTGACGACCTGATCAATGACTTTTTATTCAAAGAAGTCCAGAAGAAAGACGGCAGTTAGGTAGGAAGATAGTTTTCACTGCGTTTGTGTGTGGTCGTATATGGCTCTGCACCATAGCTCTGTACTTAATTTGATGTTCATTCATGTATTCTTTCACGGTTTGTTGTTGTTGGTTTTATTTAAATTAAGGTGAATGTTTTCACTCCTAAATATAAATACTGTGGCCGAAAATGGCAGTCATTTAACAAGTCATAAAAGGAAATATAATTTCAAAGTACTCGTTATATTTTACGATATCATCACCTTAAAGCATGGGGAAAATATGATTTTGGGTTACTGTGTTTATATAAATGTAATTTATGAAGCTGTTATTGCTGCTAGACTGCCCCGTTGCACGCTTCCCTTGGGTTTTTTTAAACTGTTGTTTTTGAAAAGCTAAACACCAACAAATATGGTCTGAAGCAGAACATTTCATTAAATGAAATATGTAGTGAATTTTGGAAATGATTATATCCATCTCTTTTTCAATACATTTTGACTTTTGGACTAAGTTAATCGACTGAGCGCCACATCGCTCACCTTGTGTGTGAGAAAGATTGAGGCTATAACACATAAAGTTATAAATTATAATGCCAACATTATAAATGAAACTTTGATCTATTTGGTATAGCACTAATGACGTGTGGTTTTGGGTTGCCTTCTGCTATTGTGCAACCAACATTGTTAACACTGTATTGGTATTATTTAAAGATTTGATTTCTAGTTCCAGGTGTTATAGAGGCTTCTGGTAATTTGGACAGAACAAAAGAGAAACAATCTGAAAAACAATCTGAGAGAGAGAAGCTGATTCAGAGACCATTATGAAGTAAACAGGAGGCAGGTGTGCTTATAAAAACAGGTGTGTTAGCACATTTGGTAATAGAACATTAATCCTGTCCTGTGTAGTTTAGTGCCAAGATGTGTGCATAAACATAAGCCCACACTTGCTCATTGTTTTATTATTGAGCAAAACAATGAGCGTGTCCAACTCATGCAGGTAAACCTGTTGTTCCTCTGACTTCTCCTGTGTCCGTCTGACAGGCTAGGTAAGTGTTGTGGGTGGGGCATGTAATGAAGTATGCCTTCAGCTGTGCAGGTTTAGGTCGCTGTCCTCCGCATTCACTCACTGACTTGAACTTGAGTAACATGTGTGAGGGCGATGGGCCATGGGACTCCTGATAATATGAACTGGGCTGGACTATTGCAGGTCAGTGAGTCAAAAGCCATGCAAGGATTTTCCATTCTGATGGTGTCTATACTTACTGTGTCAGTGCTTCTGATAGAGAGAAAGGGTGTAACTGGAATGTTGTTCTTCTGTGCAATTTTGTAGTAAGTAGCTGGATAGACGCTGGAAATGTTCTCATTTTTTAAAGATTACATTTTTCTTCGTAAAGATTAAAAGAAAAACTGATGTGATTGTGAAAATGCAGATATATATGCAAATGTTATTTTTTCATTTTTGTAAAGCCAAGCACATGCTTTTGCTTTTGTGCATGTTTGTGTGTTAGAGTAATTGGTTGGAGATAAGTGAGCTTCATTGTACAGTCGCTTGCTTTTAAAAGAGCTCACTGCGGCATTCAGTTTAAACCTTATCACCACCAGGGAAAACTTCTATGTTCTGGCAGTTTGAAGTGCAACAAAAAGACAAATAAAATAAAGTATAATCATAACCTAAATTAAAAAGAAATTGGTTATTTTAAAAAGCAAAGAATTACTGCTCACAGCTTGTCTCTTTTCTCGTCAGAATCTGCTGGTGGTGGTCCATCTGCAGCAGTTCATATGTGGTTCTGTCCGATTTTCTATCCCAGAGGAGCAGGAGCCTGGTAGTCTGGCAGGGTCACTTAGTAAACACTTTCCACCTCAGTACCAGCTCCTGACCCAAGAGTATCTGTGGATGGACAAAAACACAGGCAATTTCTACACCACTGAACAAAAGATGGATCGTGAGACCCTCTGCCCCGAGGAGACAAAAGCTGAGGAATGCATTATATTACACAATGCTGTCGTTGGGCCCTCGGGAGACCTTATACAGTTTCCTGTGATCATAGAGGACATCAATGACAATGCACCTCATTTTGAAAACAGTGAAATACACCTGAGGGTGTCTGAGGACATGACTGTGGGGACCAGTTTCATACTAGATGACCAGGCTCAGGACAGGGATGCTGGACCAAACGGCGAGCTGCATTACCGCCTAGAAGATTCTGATGGAGTTTTCAGTTTAAAAGTGGAAGAAGACGGGCCTTTCATCATGCTGGTAGTGCAAACAGCTCTGGACAGGGAGACTCGGGACATGTATCACATGGCACTGGTGGCCACCGACTGTGGCTCAGAGCCTTTAAGTGCTACAGCAACTTTAATAGTCACAGTGACAGATGTTAATGACAACTGTCCAAGCTTCAGCGCTGACAGCCCCCGCAATGTCACCGTCCCCGGAGACTCCCCGAAGAACATGCTGGTTGCTCGGGTCAGAGCCACAGACCAAGATTCAGGCCCGAATGCTGCCATCGTCTACTCCCTCAGTCCCAAAGTCTCAGAGCGGGCCAAGAAACTCTTTAGCCTCGACAGCGTCACTGGCCACATCAGACTAACGCAGGACCTCCAGAGTGACATCTCCGAGGTGCTGCTGTTGAACGTGTTAGCTAGCGGCCATCACTGCCCCCCAGCAGACACTCAGGTAACCGTATCCGTCCTCCCCAAGGCGAACCAAGAGCTGACCATCAAGATCGGGTTCATAGCAGAGCATCAAAACCAGACTATAGTGTTACCAGAGAACCAGCCCCCCACCGTCTTAGCTGTTTTAGAGCTCGAGGGTGACAGCAGATTTAAAGGCTCATCTCTTGCCATTGAGAGCGAGGTGCCTTTCACTTTGAGCCCACAGAATGGCAAATATCTGCTTTCCACATCAAAGTCCCTAGACTATGAGATGAAAAGTGAACATTATATTTATGTGGTAGTGCAGGGGAGATCAGCTGAGGGATCTGTGATCATTTCTTCCAGACGAGTGATCAGGGTGTTGGTGGCAGATGTCAACGATAATGCTCCACTTTTCTTCCAGTCTCACTATCAGCTGGAGGTGGAGGAAAACAACCAGCCAGGGATGTCACTGCTGAGGGTCTCAGCGTCGGACGCAGACAGTGGATACAACGGCAGGGTGACCTACAGACTGGACAAACACACATCTACCATCTTTAACATTGCCCCCGAGACAGGTCAACTGTCTGTGTCAGCCGTTCTGGATAGGGAACAGCAGGGTGTGTACAATCTCACTGTGTTTGCACAAGATAGCGGCTCGCCTCCCTTGGAGTCAGTGGCTACAGTATCCATTCGTGTTCTGGACCACAATGACAATGCACCTGTTTTTCTGACCCCTCACTTCATCTTTTTTATCCGTGAGGATGTACCACCGTTCGCCCAGGTGGGGGGGGTTGGGGTGACAGACCCAGACGAAGGAGAGAACGGGAACACAGAGTTGCATGTTGTAAACAGCAGTGGACCTTTTGTTGTGGATAACACCGACGGGACACTGCGCACCACCAACAACTTGGACCGCGAGACAGACGATCGCTATGAACTCTACCTGCTGGCCAGCGATCATGGGCGCCCGTTCGCTTTGACTTCCACTGCCAGGGTAACTATCTTTGTGGAGGACATCAATGACAACCAGCCAAAAGTGATCCTTCCCAGCAGCAACTCCTCGTGCCAAACTGTCTCTCCAGCTACCATTGCAGGCACCATAATAGCAAAGATCTATGCCATCGACGAGGACTCGGGGCTGAATTCGGAGATTACCTACACTGTTGTGGCGCCAGAGTCAGTGCGAAACAGCAGCCCCTTCCGGTTGGACTCAAGGTCAGGGAACATCACCGTAGCTCAGCAATTTCTACAGAAAGACTTGGGAATGCATCACCTGTTTATTGTGGTCAGAGATGGGGGGAAACCAGCTCCACTTTATACCACTATCTGGGTTAATCTGTTGGTCAATGAGAGCGTGGGGCCCTGCAACTTAGACAGGGCGCCCACCTGGACAGGGACATCTGACTTGCATCAAACCCCCTCAAAGGCCCCCATATGCGAGGTGGAGGACACCAGATCTGCTCAGCTGACGCTGTTAGTAGGCCTGGGTATGATGCTGGTATCCACATGTTTGCTTGTGGCGACAGTTGTTTTATACCTGAAACAGAAGAGAAGAAGTCTACAACAGAACAAGAGGGGGCACATTGAGGAAATTGAGATTCCACTCAGGCTCAAAGACAAATATTACTCTGATGATTAACAGAATAAAGCAAGTAATGTGTGTAATCCTCAGTCGCACTTTGTCAAGGATGAAATCAGACTGTGAATTGAATACATTCTGAATATTTGTCAAAGGCTTCTTGCATTTTGATAATCAAATTTGTTGAAATGTTCAGATACACAGTGTATTCAAACATTGTAAAACTGCAACATTCTGTGGAAATAAAGTAGATCCATTTTCTGATAAGCTGCCTGGAAAGCGTATAAAAAGGTGATCTGATAAGTGCAGTATTTGAAGTTACCAGCAGAGAGTTGCAGACAAATGCAGAACACTGTATTTTTACATTTGATGTGTACAGTGTAGTCATCATAAGATGGAGCATATCACAGTGAGGCATTGCTAAAATACCAGTCATTATCATCAGGGATTATTCTCCATGACCCCTGCAGTGACAAGAAGACTGGGGGTAATGGTCCGCTATAAGTCGATTGTGTCTTTCTCAGATTTCTGACTCAGAGTGATGGGGAGTCTAAAGTATTTAGACACACAAAAGGGTTTAATGTTCCTCCACTGGGGAGGTGATGAAAGTCTCTCAAGCTCTGAGATGACCACAGGAGGCGGAGCGCAGCTGTGGACAGGTGAGAGGCGTCAGAGGGAAGGGACACCACCATCTCAAGTCACCGCCTCACACCTGTTATCCGATAGCGCTGCTACTCACCGACAGCGCTGGATCGCACCCAAAAGGCAGAAAAAAAACCTACTGTACTGCACCCGGTAAGCCAACAGGCTTGTTGTTTTGATGACAGCTGTTTGGAATGAAAACACGCTGTGTTCAAAGAAATCGTTGCAAAAGGCAGTTATTACTGGTACATTTGTGTGCTGGGGAACAATTGAGATATCAAAACCAGGTTAAGTGATGCATAAAATATGAATGAGTCAGGGTAAAACATTTTTTACAAATCTGTGAACACACAATTGCACAAAGAGGGTGGGATAATTGTTTTAGCTTTTACCAAAGGAAATGGGCTTTTATCTTTACGATATCATAAACTATTGAGTGATCTTTTTAAGATACACCTTTGTAAGACGAAAGGAGGAACACCATGAGTCGTAAAACACAATGTACAACAAGCTGGTTAGTAGAGAACAAGGCTTGTATAACATGAGTGGTGTTTCTCTGAGGATTTCAGAGCTAGCAGCTCAAAATAAATAATCGAATAGGGTTGTACTGTGACACTAACTGCATTCAATTAAAGGAAATAAAGTGCTACATGACAAAGTTACACATTAAAGAGGCATTTTGACAAAAGAAATTTCAGATTCTATTGGATTTAAAACATGTACAAATGTATATGAAACTGTAGTGGTTCAAAGGAGACATGTTTGACCTGGTTGACAAAATGTCAAACATCCTTATGGACTAGATTTTAGGACCATCAGGTTTAAATATGCTTTTTTGACAAAACTGAATTTTTCTCAAAAAATAAATCGTATTGTGGGATAAGACTTGTGTGTCTGCTGATGTACAAATGCTGTGGCAAGACAAAGCCTGCCATCTGCTGGACACAGAAGAAGCCAAATCTGGTCCTTTTATTTCTGGTATTTTGCCAGAGGGTGTAGATGAATCAGAGGACAGTCTCTCACTCCGCCACAGTCAGGTCACCTGAGATCAGTGATGCTTCCCTGCTGCATGCTACCCTGCTACATCTCATCTTAATCAAATTCTTTTTTTTTTCTTTTTTACTAAAGCTGAACATTTGATAGTGGGTTATGGGGTTGCATGAGCTGACATGGACAAAGAGCCCAGCTGGCATCGACCCAAATACCATGGATTATTTCCGAGATACACATCAGGGGTTTTATGATCACAAATGACATAACAATCCAGTCTAATTAAAATAGTTGTGATGGTTTTCTTATCAAAGAAACTCTGTGTGGTGATGATGAGAAATACCCCTCTTTGCCCCTCAACTATCCGGCTTAACAGGCTCTATCGCACTTGATTATTCCACATATTAATGGTCTGTGAATGCCACTTTAAGCTTGCTTTTAAAAAAAAAAAAAGGAACATTTCAGGACTAAATAGACCCATTTAAGAGATAAATGATAAAGCTCATATCAGTTTTGCCAGCTGGGATCTTCTTATGTTCAGTTCGGTATCTCAAACACTGCAGTCAAACAGATAGTATCTGACAATTTCCCGAAGCCTGGAGAGCGTCACCTGACTGTCCACAGGCTCAGACAGATCTTCTTCACTGACCACAGACAAACAGCATTTTATCATTCTCATAAACCATAATCCATCAGCTAATTCCTCTTTTGATTTATCAAGCTGAAAGCGTCGGCTTTAAAAAACAGAAGGCCTTGGAGAAACATGGACTGAATGCCCCAGCGTTGGGATGGTCAACAAACAGAGGAGGAAAAGTGTTTTTAATATGGTAAAAAAAAAAAACGTTCCCTCTTCTGTATTTGCATATGAAGTTGCACGTCGCTCTCTCCATATGCAAATATGCGTCCACAATGAACTAAGGACATTTCTGCAAGCGCAAGAACCTTGACCTCCTCATTATTCTCCGCCTTGAAGCTCATTGAAAAGCGACATTGTTTCTTTAAGATTGCACTTGCAGTCATCAGCGGGTCTGTCCATTGTTGGGGGAACAGAAAGCGAGTTGAGGTTGATATACGGGGGCCGACGACCAGTTGCGCATATCATCAGTGGACCAGCTGCGGTGCAAGCAGCAGTAGCCGACTTGAACGCATCCTTCCAGACATGGGTAAGCAACTCCAGCCACTTATTAGCCTTTAGCAGATAGAATACGTCACTTTATGAAATCTGCATTTTATTTCATGCGATTGCACGCTGATATATGAATGGGACTGTGAAAGGGCATCAGAAGTTATTACGGTTTTTTTTTTTTTGTCAGTTTAGAGGTCGGCTACTCACCGGCTGATGCACCATTGATATTATGAGATTTATTTCATGCTTGAGATGGCAGGGCCACTTTCAGAGGAGCCTTGTCGCATTTGCTTTCGGTCGCAATCTTTCTCAATTTTTAAAGAGCCGAACTTGGCCTCAGCTTTGCATTTCCTACCAGATCGAGGCCTGTTTTCATTTGAGTCACAATCGAGAGACTGTGGGCAGCTTTGGCTCGGAGGGCTTTAGCTCTTTGTTCGGGCTGGTAATCTCATTAATTTGTTAATTGGCACAAGGTGTGTCTGACGGCATGGCGGCTAATATTGGTTAGACGGTGTGGTGTTTAAAGTGCTGGTCTTTGTGCATGCCGTTAGCTACTTGTAGGCCTAACATTACTCCTGGTGACCAGGTTTCTTTGTGACTTTAATTTACTTCCTTCCTAAAATAACAACACTGAAAAATATTGTCTGTTATTTGCTAGTTTCCTTACTGTACTATCAGTACAGTTCCCTCATCCATACCACTGTAAAGTTATGCCATCTGAATGACAGTGATCACAGTTTGTCTCTCACATACACCACTCAGTTAAAGAGCTATCTATTTGCCCCTCCTGCCATCTGTGTTTACTGTAATGGTACCAACCACAGTCTGTCTGCCTCCATTGTGGGTGTCTGTGTGGATGCACCCATGCAAGCGTTTAATGGCACACATGCACACAGTTGCATTGTTTGTTTATAGCTTTGCTTTTTTTCCCCATCCTCTTCCAGCATAGACAGCTCCCCACTATCACTTTCTTGTTCCCCTGTCTCCCCAGAAGGAAGTCCACGAGTGTGTGCATGTGTGTGTCCGTGTGCGTCCAGCATAGAGGTGCCTCTGGTCTTTGTTTGCTTGACATTGGTGGCCCTTGTACCCCCATGATGCTGTGGGACAAAGACTGTTGTCTCTGCAGTCACAAAAGCTGCTCTCTCTCTCTCTCTTTCACTTTGTCTCTCCTCTCCGTCCTCTCCCTTTTCTCACACTCTCCATGCTGGCTAGTGAATGGAGTCAGGGTGTGAGCTGGGGTCAGAGCAGACACATCCCCATGCCCTTGTCCCTTTGGCATCCATTCAACAGGCACATGACTATTAAGGAGAATGCACCGCTTTACCATGGGAATGAAAGTGTTAACAGCTGCAGCTCGGTCCACAGTGTCAACGCAACATCAATTCAGATTTTAAATTAAATCTTGCTTACCTCTGGTTGTTATCTAGATAGTATGGAGATGGTTTTATGTGGCCTGGTTTTGAGATACCCACTGCTAAGAGTTCTGCCTCTGCTCCAGTTCAATGGATTGTGTGTGGTGTTTACACCATGAACGTAAATGACAGAGTTCATCTGGATAATCCAACTCTTTGTGCTCTCCCTTTTTTCCCCAAAGAAACAGTCACTATGGATCTGTTGACAGCGAGTTCTCTGAATCATACAGAAAAATTGATTTGTAGATCAATGGAAAATGAATCGGCAACAATTCTAATAATTAATTCAATATCGAGCATCTCTTTGATTATTTTGAAGATGCCAACATGGGCTGTCAGAAACTGTGGTAGACAATTCATTTACATTTTTAGACTAAATAACCTGGATTAATCAATAACGACAGTATTATTCGGTTGCAACCATAGATACAAGCAGCGCAAACAAAATTCCATTCACCTTCACTGTAACGTTTTGGAGGCAAAAGTGCACAACCAAAACTATCTGCATGGCCATCACCTTAAGTGAACACTTTTTCTTACATTTGATGTGGGTGAACTGTACTTGTACAGGTTGTAGCACATGTCCATATTAACTTAACAGAGAGGAAAGAATTAAAAAAAATATATATTCCTTCTTCACAAAGCACCTACTCTAAATTCTAGTGTGCATGATTTGCCCATTGGAACGACGTCTGTCTGTCATATTGCATCAGTTTAATTTTGCGCCCTGACTTTCACGCTGCTGCGTCTTGTCTGTCAGGTTGCTATGATTGCTGTATGCGCTGTTTGGGTGGGGTGCCGTACTGCTCCCTGGTCGCCACACTGCTGTGTTTCTCTGGCATTGCCCTCTTCTGTGGTTGTGGGCACCAGGCACTCACAGAGACGGAGAGACTCATCGAGACTTACTTCGCCCGTAACCTTCAGGACTACATCACCCTCGCCTACATGTGAGTGCTAAACCTAAGCATTTCCATCATTGGAGAGACATCTTTTTAACCCTGTTATGGAATTTCTCAGGTTCTATTCAGAAGATTTAGGTTTTTGTAAGCCTGAATTTTGACTGTTTTTCCTTTCCCCCCTCCTCCTCCTCAGCATCCAATATTTCCAGTATGTCATCTATGGTTTGGCCTCGTTTTTCTTCCTCTACTGCATCGTGCTGTTGGCTGAGGGCTTCTACACCACGAGCGCTGCCAAGCAAACCTTTGGAGAGTTCAGGAGCACCATGTGTGGCCGCTGCCTTAGTTCCTCGGTGAGAGGGCCCAGAGTTGGACAAGTAAAGGGGATTGGATGGGATTAATACACATATCACTCCCTGGTGGGTGCTGAGCTGAAAATCTTAAGGTTGCTAAAAACCTTTGGGAACATGCAAAGATAAGCATACAGTGTGTGTTAGAGAGAGAGAGAGAGAGAGAGAGAGAGAGAGAGAGAGAGAGAGAGACTGCTCATCCAATCGCTCTTCGATTATGTGCATCAGTTTATTATGATGATGCAGCCTAATGCTTTTTCTGCTCCCTCCTTGCACAGTTTATAGTGATTACATACGTACTAGCTGTGCTGTGGCTGTTGGTGTTCGCCTTCTCGGCCCTGCCTGTCTACTTCTTCTACAACATGGATGCCACCTGCCACACCATTGATGTGCTGACCGAGACGCCAGCGAGTATCAACCAGCTCTGTGTTGATGCAAGGCAATACGGTAACAAGACATCTTTTAATGGCAACCCCTGAGACAAGCTTCTTGCACTAATTCTATGAACAAATCCCATGAAAAGACCAACAATGAATTGTTTCTACTGACGATGCTATCACACTCGCAATGACGATGCTATCACGCTCGCAATGACGATGCTATCACGCTCGCAATGACGATGCTATCACGCTCGCTATGACGATGCTATCACGCTCGCTATGACGATGCTATCACGCTCGCAATGACGATGCTATCACGCTCGCTATGACGATGCTAACACGCCCGTAATGACGATGCTAACATGCTGATGTTTATCAGGTCTAATGTTAACCATGTTCACCATCTTGATTTAGCATGCTAATACTTAGCAGTTAACACAAAGTAAAGCTGAGACTGACAGGGATGTCATTAGTTTATCAGGTATTTGGTCAAAAGATATTGGTCAAATAAAAATGTGAAAGTTTTTGCCAAATTTCATGGCAATCCATCCCATAGCTGAGACAAAAGTCAGGGGATCACTGAAGTTAAATAGGATCCATCTTCTGGACACCATGAATCTTTGCAGCAATCCAGCTAAAAGTTGTTGAGATCTTTCAGTCTGGACTAAAGTGGTGAGCCCGACCGACATTGACATCTCTAGAGCTCCTTGAGTGTGGCCAACAGCACATTTGCCACACAATGAGCAACACTGTTGCACTGGGTGACATGATCTTTCATTACCATGAACATGGGCACGCAGTTGTAGAGTCTATTCACTGTACCGATGGTGTAAATATTCACCACCTCATCAAATGGGTATTAATCCGTAGCTGAAAATATTTCCCAACAAATTCACTGTTTACTCGTGTTTTGCAACATTTTGATAAACTACTCCTTTTTTAAAATAAACCTACTGTGTGTGTGTGTGTGTGTGTGTGTGTGTCTATCTATCTATCTATCTCTTCAATAGTAAGAACCAACAATGTAGGAAAGTCAAATAGTATTGCAAACGAAAGGACACATTGATGGTTTTGGTCTTTCATGCGATTTGTGGAAAGTAAGAAATATATAGAACATTGCCAACATGCTTTTGATCGTCACCGTACGTAAGAAGTGGACTTGAACGGGACATTTTTTATTTTTAACAGGGCTCCTGCCATGGAATGCAGTGCCAGGGAAAGCTTGTGGCATGACTCTGTCCACGGTTTGCAAGACCAGAGAAGTAAGAACCAGGACATAATTAAAGCTCTGCCGTCATGTTCTACAGTTTGCCTGACATGAAATGAAGACGCACGTCATCGCCACTAATGCAAAATCTCCCATCTCCTTTCAGTACCGAATGACCTATGACCTTTACATTGCTGCCTTTGCCGGCGCGGGCATCACTCTCTTGGCTCTGGTGAGTGATTATGCTTCAGACGGGGCTAATTTGGCTTCTATTCCCACAGTGGGGCACAATAGTGTTGTGGCTCATGTGACTCGGTGACGCACAAAGTGTAGGCGGTGAGGCATCCGAAACCTCCATGACTGATGACTTTTATACTATTGCTCTCTGTTCCTCTTTCTCAGCTGACACAAACATCATAATAATGCCGTAATGTCTGGTGATTTTCCAGCCAGGCAAATGGTGCACCCATTGTACCAGCATGCTCCATTACAGAAGCTGTTATACGGATGGAATCTATCAAATCAATGCCGTTAGCAGTTAATCATATTTCCTTCTTATTTCTGGATGTTTTTTGTATTCTCTTCACTTCTGCTCTGACACTTCCTGTCTCTGCTTCCTCCATAGCTGACCTATACTGTGTCAACCACCTATAACTTTGCGGTTCTTCGGTATCTGGGGAGAAAGGGCATAGTTGCACGGTGTTAGGCTCACCCGCTTCCTGTCTGCTCTATCACTTCTCCACCACCAACATGGGGACGGCAACAATTCTCTCCTTCCACATCATCTGCACAGAACCTCTTGTGGACTCTTAAAAATAATGTCTTTATATTTTTACTTGTTGGGAACAATGTTATTTTAATGTTTATCCTTTTCTTTTTGTTATTTTGTATGTGTGTGGGGTTGTCTACTGCTTTTACATGCAGTTAGTCTTATGTCCTATGCCATGTCACGAAAATATTTGTAAAATATTGTTTCTATTTCTGCTTCCCTTCGCATTCAAAACACAAATAACACATCCCTAATCAATTAACATATGTAAGAACTAACCACCAATTTGCAACACATGTGCTGCTAGAATGCAGCTGTTGCGGAGAAAAGGGATTATAGGTTACCATGGCTGCCATCCTTCACATCTGGTTGCCATGGTGGCAGACAAGCATGCATTTGCGGTCTCGCGCTGACCTCAGGACTTTTCTCACGGGCTGGAGAAAAGCCTCAACAATGGAGTCATGCCTGTTTTTAAAAGCTAGCCAATAAGGAGCCAGTTGTGGGGGCCACCTGCGCTACGAGTCTCTGCCAAGGGTTATATTACATGTCAAGGGAGAGGGTCCTCCTGACAAAGAGAGGGTTGGACCCCTCTAAAGCCTCAATGCAGCTCCTCTGGGACAGCAACCACACACACCATCCACAGGCTGCTGCATGACCCCCACCTCCCTCCCAATAATTGAAGTGATGGATTCAGAGGCAGAGGACTGAAGGAATTTTAGATGATTTTAAGTAGTTTCTTTCTGACAAAGGGACATACTTAGTTCTGATCTAGAAAGGTCTGAAATTGTTTCTCATCATTTTGAGATGGCAAAAGCACTAGATGCTAACTTATGGAGTGACCTCATATTATTAGACCTAAAACACACTGAGGTGTGACTAGACCCTGCTGTTAATGCATGACTGAGGTGCTTTTATAGAGATGGGGACAGCTTTGTTTTGTCTCTAATCCTTTGGGAATGTTCTTGTAGTTATTGTATAACACATCTTTTTACTTACTGTAGCTGAATTTACTACTTTTTTTTTACACTTTGGGTATTACCAACAATGTTTTTGCAGCATCATAAGTAGATTATTCCATTTGGTGTGAACTTTACCCAGCTGTGATTGGTGGATTTGTCAAATGGCAGCTGGCTGTTTATTTTTTTTTTTGTGTTGGTAAAATGTGGTAATAAAAAAAGAATATTCTTTGAAGTATTTGTGCAGAGTGCCTCTGAAAACATTTGTTTGTAGTCTGTGTGAAAGTGCGGTGTGTGGTGTTATGTGTCAGTGTTAAACTGGAGCTCCATCCCTGGCTTTCCGCCATATCGAGGGGCCAAGGTGTTTTGTAAGGTGTTTTGTATTCTCTCCTCTTGTGTCCACAGGTGCACTGTTCCCTGCACTTGGCTGTGAACCAGGCGTACCTGAGGAGGCTGGGGCACAGGGGAAAAGAGCGAGGCTATGACCTGTATGGGAGGTTGCAGAGGGACAGGGGGGGGACACTGTGCTCTCCATACCCTGCAAACCCATCTGACATCTCCTGACAGCGCCTTTAGTTCTGCTGCAGGGGCTTCATGACGACGATCACAACTGAGCTGCTCATCAACATTATTCTGTTTTGTGAAGTGTACATCTGGATTATTATTTGGTAAATTGATTCCCTTCATTCTTTTTGAAGTTTTCACTAAAATATCGGCTATTGTGTGTTCATGTCTAATGTTGTAAAATACAGGGAGTCGTAACATGTGCTTATTTCCTATAATGTTATGAGTTATTCTTTCTGTATATTTCCTTAAGTCAGACATTTAGTTTGAAAGGCAGACCTGCTTTTTTTTATTTTCTTCTGGCCAGGTCTAATTTTACAGTATGCGGTGCATGCTTGCTTTCCTTTTTAATGAAGAGGAAATAAACAGTGTTCACCGTCTCTCGGGTTCCCGCACATTCTTGATCATTCAATGACATTGAGGGTTTTGTGTGATGAAATTCGAACAAGGTGACCAGTGTTGTACTCTAGATCTTGCAGAGAAATATAGTAATTATTTTTAACACTACCTTATTACTGCAAATATTGTTTTTTTTCCCCCTGATGGTAAAATGACTGCTGACCGCTGGAGAGCTGAGGTATACTGATTAATTTGAGTGACCTATTTTAGTTTCAAAAATAGTGGAAGAGCTTTTGTTTTTAAACTTTAAAGTCATGTTCAAGGCACACACGTTCATGAATTTCAAACAGGAGAGTTTCTGCATTTGGTATGTTGCGTGTTTTATTTGTAGCCAAGCACTGGAGAGTATTCTCCGCGTTGCCAGCATGTTGGCACAACCATTTGTATCCCCCGTAGTGCAAAAAGAGAGAGAGGGAAGTTGCCCATCAGATCAACACATAATCAAGAGGAACAGTCTGACTTTCACACAGCTTAAATCACACTCATGGGTTGAGCACTGAGCGTGAGACAGACGTTCAGTATCACTTTATACATCAAATGAATGCCCTTTGCAATTTACATAAGCCATTAATATGGACAGCCCAAAGAAATTACTTTTTACATTCATAAATATTACAGCAACAGAAAAAAATCCAACATAAGACAGCAACATGTATGGTTATGCTACCCGCTTCTAAGTACCACTAGTTCTCAGGTAAACACTGATCGGCTACATTATCTGAACAAATGGTAAAGAGAAAACATTAACACTGACAAATGATAAGCTAACGGCCCTCATTTTTGCTTTGAATTAATGTAGGCTACCAGCTTGATTTAGTTAAAATGCCCTAGTCAGTTCACAGTTAATTAAGTTTCTCTCATACTGCCGTGTGTACTAGTACTCAACACACGTACGATAACCACACGAACAAGCCATTTATTAGAAGCCTACATTAAAGCAAAGAACCATGTAATAAGTAAAAATGACGGTACCTGATTCAATTAGGTTCACTTTCACAGTGAAGCTCTTGTAACGTTCCCCATTAGTCTGCACACACATTGAAATATGATGCAATCTTTACTTGAAAAGGCAAATCTCAGGCTGAGAGAATACACAAGATCTCCAACACTAGACGCAATATAAACCACTATTCCAGCAGCAAGGAAAATACTGATGAGGATGAATTTAGACAACATTAAACTTAATTTGAGGCATTGAATATCAGCTGATTTTTTTTTGGACTACACAGGCAATGCCCTGAATGGCCCATAGCAGTAAAACCAAAGGAAGCCTGTATGTAAACACATTCAAATGAAAGTAAAGTATCACCAAGGGGAAAACAAGTAAACATTGTTCAATTGTCAGAATATATATGCTTCACAATACTTTATGAATGGACAGGAGAGGTGACGCACAATGCATGCATTATTAGTAACAGCCTTATCCTTGTGCTCAGGTTACTTCACCTTCAGCTGAGACCTGGAATAGCCAGACAGACAGCACAAGGTGTACGTAATGTATCGGTGAAGCACAGGAGACCTTCAACAGAGGCAAAGCTAAAGGACTGGAATGTTAAAGCCTGCCACGCGATCAACGAAGCAGTCACAGGATTACAAACGTGCCAATATTATGAAAATGATTGATGATTAAGAAAATTATAACCGCGTCTATACATCAGGAAAACAGACTAAAATCAACCCAGAAATCAAATCTAAACGGACTATTACACAATGTCTGCAAAAAACAATAGGATGAAAATGTGCTTCACAGAAAAATAAACAGCAGTTTATCAACAGCAGCAGCAAAAGCAGTATTATTTTTTAACTTCGAGAAACACTGAACCTTACTTATAGTAAACAGGCCCATGTACATTAATAATGGGAAATAATCTGATAATGCCAAACTCGTACACCTGACACCTCCAGCTACACACTAGTGCAGTGCTAACACATATAATAGACAACTGGATAAGGGCACCACAAAAGCACGTACCCAATGCTGACAGCAAGAGCTGCAAAATTAAAGCTTTCAGTTCCCTTCCCATTGAAGACAAGCAAGGTCATCCTGCTTTTGTGAGTAGCAATCATTTGAAATTCCTCGTACCTAAAATCACATGTTGGGAGTTCTCATGCATAATATCTGCCTGGGTTAGGAACACTGTCACTCACAGACACCATCTCTCTGCTGAAAGATCTAAAAACAAGAAAATGTGACGTATTCAAAGTCCCTCTAAAACCCAGGAAAACCAGCTCACGGACAGACTGTTGAGCAGATACAAGTTCGACTGTATGTTGCTGTAGAGTGTGCTCGTCAAGAGAGTGGCGGCGTATTCTCCCAACCACAGTTTCATTATTTCATTTAAAGAGAAATGCTCTGAAAGCACTATTTGATACAACTCCTGCATAGGCAGACCAAGCTGAAGCTGGGCAGAAATGTTTTTGTGCATCACAACTGAAAGCAGATAAGAGTACAAAGGAAGTGAGTGCCCGTTACAGTGTGCCTGTACCGTGGTTAGAGCAGTAATTCAACCTTGACTCCAGCTGAACCCCCGACACAGCGCTCCACAGAGCAGCTGTGTCTTATCCACATTATCTTTAGGGGATACCGTACATATTACCTTGTACCTACAGCACGTTTACCATTATAACAATGGGCGAGTTTCAGCCAAAGAGATTAAGACAAGGTGGATTCACACCTGAACCAATCAGCAACAAGACGCACGGGAGTTTTTGCGGTTGCCATGTAGATCGATAGCACTACCCAGTAGTGCGTGGTCAATCTGGTCCTCAGCAGCCAGAACCTCCCTGACAGCTGCCTCGAACGCAGCTGTGACGTTAGTGTCATCCTTGGCACTGGTCTCAAAGTAAGGGCAGCAGCCGGTCTCTTCGCACCAGGCCCGTGCTTCGTCCTCCCCCACCTCCCTCTGCTCCATGTCCACCTTGTTGCCGAGCACCACAAAGGGGAACCGCTCCGGGTCTTTAACATCCGAGTAGTACATGAACTCCTTCTTCCAGCAGCCGAGGTTTTGGAAGCTCTGCAGGTCGTTCACAGCAAACGTGAGCAGGCAGCAGTCGGCGCCTCGGTAGAAGGGCGTACGCAGAGACTTAAAGCGCTCCTGGCCGGCTGTGTCCCAGATCTGAAGAGTGACCAGGCGCCCGTCCACCTCCAGGTCCCGGTTTAGGAACTCCACGCCAATGGTGTGGAAGGACTGGGAGTCAAAGCGGTCCGTGACGTAGCGGTTCATTAGTGAGGACTTGCCCACTCCACCGTCCCCCAGTAGTATCACCTTCAGGAGTAGGCTTTTCCCGCTCATCATGTTTCCTTCCACCCAGCAAGGCCTCCACACCAGGTGGCAGACCAGGGTCAATTTAACCTAGAAAGAGTGAGAAATACTACACATTCAAAAGGGAAACCAAATCACTTGGAAATTAAACAATTCTCAGGAAACATTCAACACCCAAAGTAGTCTGAGGGCTTGACTTTATGGATGATTCAGTGTAGATAACACGGGGAAAAGACTGCTGTTCTAGCAACATCTGTATTCGACCTCATAGGGGCCTTACTGACGACAAATGAAAGGGAGATGTGTAATGGTTGACTAGTGTCAGGGACACGATAACAGGGGTGAAGGACCGAGAAGTCTGCCTGAGGTCTCTGGTTGAAGCTCTGGGCTGTATGTCTAGTTGTTTACTACATGACAGAGCAATACTACACATGTACTATGTTTGACAGCCATAGCGTATGAACATTATCGTACAGAACTTAAGACAACATTAGCTTCATCCTAGTTTTTTTCCTACGCCACAATAACAGGGGCGAGTCAAGTTAACGGGCTGACCACTGCACCTGCGCAGACCACAGACATGTACAAGCTTGTTGTGACTGGCGGCTAAAACTCTGATTAAACTGCTCCGTCGAGAGTCTCTGTGAAAACTGTTAATGAAGTGCTTCAGAATAGAAGTTAACTAAGAACCGAAACAAGTGAGAGGCTTCTAAAAAAACTACAAGCAGATACCAACAGTGTAGCGGCTCAGCAAGCATCTCAGCCAAATAACAAGCTAGCCGGCTGGTGTGGTGGCTTGTTGACATTCTGCCCTGGCCAGGCTAACCGTTAGCTTCAGTGCATCTGCGACTCAAAACTATATTTAAAGCAACAAAAGAACGCACGTTGCAGTGAGGTGATGTATTTATAATGTAATGCATTAAATACAAGTAGAATAAAATGCATGTATGTGACCTCACCCTGTTCCTGATTGTTTATGTCGCGTGGTCCACCTTACATCTGACCGAGGTTTGGTGTCGTGACGTGCGCGCCCCGATCGAGAAACTGCACGTGCACATTGCCCACACGGGTCCTAAAACCCGTAAAGTTCACTTTTTTTAATAAACGATGACACGATGAAGTGTCACTGTGAGGTGTGGTTACTGTACAAAGCGCATTTTGAAGTATTTCACCTGTGCTACTTTATACTTATATATACATATACTACTACACTACATTTCAGAGGGAAATATTGTACTTTTTTACTCAGTTGCATTTATGTGACAGCTGTCACTAGTCACTTTTCAGATTAAGATTGTGTGCAAAGCAGACCTTGACTTAATAAAATATGATGTATTGTTATAGATTAAAAACCACCCAACAGTGCATAGATCAAATCTACCTCAACACAATTTATAATAATAGGGTACAACACACACAGGGGCTCATAACAAGTAACCTACTTTTACTCGTGGTACTTTAAGTATATTTTGCTCCTAATACTGTAATACTTTTACTTAAGTAAGATCCCCAAAAATGCTTAAAGCAGAGGACACCTGTAAACTGTGCATTTTAGAGCAGTATATTTGACAATAATAAAGGTACAAGAATGCAATTACCGAGTAAAGACTACAATTGAAATCGCCGTGGATAAAAAAAAGTATTCGACCTATACGAAATTCATAATTTATACACAACTTAATTTATAACAACTTTCATACATTGACAAATCATATCATTTGCATTATTTAGTTCAAACCAATTAGGGAAATCAAATGAAGGAATGACATGGATACTTTTTATTAGAGGCTTTTGACATTTACTTCTGCGGATGTGACTCTATTGGTAGTACAAATGTACCAGACTGGTTTGCATTAGTACATTTCAAAGCTGTTTTGACTTATGGCTCGATTTATAAAAAAATAAAAATGTATGTATTGGTGAACTATTTGTTATCATACCTTTACAATGAGCATCTTTTCTATTATGTTCACACCCTACGTGCCTGTCGTGTCCTGGTAAATTTAGGGTTGAATTTGTCCAAACTGAACATAGAACAAATTGCAGGTTGCAGTGTCCGGACGTTTAATAGAGCAGTACACACTCCGGACCTGTAGGTGGCGGTGTGCAGCGTGGGTTCGTTTACTACCCGAAGAAGAAAAAAAGCTGAAACGTAGAAGAAGAATCCAGCTGTTTTCATTCCCTCTGTACCGTTGGCTGAACAGTCTACACTTTGTTGTCCCTGCTCCTCAAAAGGAGAATAGCTGCATGTTTTACTGTTTGAAGAATCAAGAATAACGCACCTTCATGTGTTTGCTGCAGCGGTGATGGTAGGAAACAGTGTTTATGTTTCGATATTGGTTCGATAGTTGCTCAGTTAGCGCTGACACCTATAATTAAAACGTTAGAGTCAATATTTCTAATGTTTGTTCAACGACTTTAGCTGCGAGGATAAATAATAACATCCGCAATACTTTAATATGGGTTATGATGAGCGCCAAAACACAGCGTGGGGTTATTTGCGACACTTATGAATCACGCCTATTTTAATAAACAGATTAAAAAAATCTAATTGATTTGTTCGTTTGAATGGTGACCTACTTGTAATCTCTGTATTGTGTGTTGCTCTTTTCAACCTTGTAGATGGCGGGTAGGGGCAGGCTCGTGCCCTGTGCGTGTCTGGGACTGTTCGGTGTCCTGTGCTGGGTCTGGGTCTCTTTTGCCTCCTTTCCAGATGACCAACATCCCCTGGAGGCCTCGGATGCATTGGACCGAGGAGCCTTTCAGCCCCAGAGTGCTCTGTTAGAGATGGAGTTTGCCTCCATCGGTCCATACAGAGGACCTGGCAACAAAGACCGCCGCAACAACAAGGAGCTGCCCATCCTCCTTTGGTGGAGTGGAGGTCTGTTCCCACATTTCCCTGGGGACTCTGAACGCATCGATTGTGCCACATCCTCCTGCCTGGTCACAAGCAACCGCAAGGTACCAGAGATGTATAACCTCGTGAATCCTTTTAATGAAACTCTTGGCTCAGACGGAGAGAAGATGCATGCTCACATTAATAATAATCATGATCTGACGTTGTTCTGACTGCCAGTAACGTTGAGTTTGATCTTGAAAGGTCCAGCTGTACAAACGGACCGCATCCATCATCTTTTATGGAACAGACTTCCGGGCATATGAGGCGCCACTCCCTCGTCTCCGCCACCAGACCTGGGCGCTGTTCCATGAGGAGTCACCCATGAATAACTACATCCTCTCCCATGGACCGGGAATCAGGCTGTTCAACTACACTGCCACGTTTCGCAGGGAGTCCGACTATCCGCTGACCCTGCAGTGGCTGCCTTCTCTGGATTACTTGCTGGAGCCGGTGGTCGTGTCCCTGGAGGAGAAGAACCGGCTGAGGAGGGAGGGCCTGGGTCCTGTGCTCTACATGCAGTCTCACTGCGATGTACCATCAGACAGGAACAGATATGTCCAGGAGCTCATGAAGTATATTCAGGTACAGTACAGAGATGCATGCTTGAAGAGTGAAGCTGTTTCCAGTTTAGTACCTGGCTTGTTAAGACTCCTAAATCAAACCTGTATGCTGCATAGTGAGCAGCAATTTTCCAATTATCATAACCGAGGAGGATTATAGTTCCACAATCCACACGCTGTAACATTGCTGTATATAAAGTAGTTGGTAGGCACATCTCCATGGTCTGTGGTTCCTTCATTTTAAAAAAGGAAAAGAAAATACTAAAAGTAAGGTCTGTTGAAGTATTATTTATTTCGCTCTCATCCTCAAATAGGTATTTTTTTTGCCTCTATACCTGTTGTGAAAACATATCACGACACATTTCTGCTTGGTGTTAAATACCATTCTCCTCAATTTTGAACCCTGCCATAGCTATCCTTTACAATAAACCTCAACTGGATCACATGCACTGAAAATCTGTAGCTCTTCCTCGTTTCCACTTGCACACAAAGGTTAAGAGGTCAAAAATATGAATCCTCACGCATGCAACTGCAGTAACACCTTTGTAAATGCTTCGTGTGTATATATATAT